GTGACAGAGGATCTCCCCTTGAGGGCCTTTCTTCCACATCGAGGATGACGTGGTCTTGCAGACGCTGCAGGTGGGCTTCAGGCCCAGCGGCATCGTAGCCGGCTCGGGCGGCCCCCGCGGGCGCAGCGACACTGGAATGGCGGCCACTTGCTCTGGCCGCCCGCTGGTCGGCCCGCCGCTCCCAGCGACAGGAAGAGGCCGCCGGGGCCTGTACCGCGGCCGCTGCCCCCTGGAGGCAGGAAGCTGGTTCACCCTCTCCTTGCGACGCACCAGCCCCGGGCGACTAGAAGGCGCTGGAGGCTGGGCTGGGCCTGGCCTGTGAGGAAAGCTGGGCCGAGGCCCTGAGGAGGCTTCCGGAGACGGGCGAGGCCAAGAGCCGCGGCTGGCGGACTCGCCTGACCGGAAGTTACGCCCCCTGAATCACTTGGAGAGTGTTGCGGTGCAATTGGCTGGCTGGTGTGGTGGTGGTGGGTCTCAAACTTGTCCTCAGGTTTGTTGTTGTTATGGGCCGTGGAGTCGGATCCGACTCATAGCGACCCCTCTTTGGGTTTCCGAGGCAGTATCACTACGGAAGTATATTGCCCAACCTTCCTTCGGAGGAGTGGCTGGTGGGTTTGAACCGCCAGTCTTTTGGTTAGCAGTCAAATGCCTTCAGCACTAGGCTTAGAATTGCCAAATAAAATACAGGCTACCCAGTTAAGTCTTAATTTCCAATACACTAAATAATTTTTTAGTATAAGTGTGTCCCCTGCAATAGTCATTATTTGAAATTCAAGCTTAACTCAGAATCCTGTATTATTATTTGCTAAATCGGGCAATCCCACTCACGACTCCTTTATGCTATTAAAAATCCTTGGAAACCCCAAGTACTTTTGTTTGTATAGGTTATATCCAGGGACATATACATATTAGAAGAACACATTTAAGGCCCAAGATGTCAAGCACACACTCATTAGCTGCCCAATGATGATGTCATTGTAGGTCTGGTAGCCTCTGGAAAAGTGGATTGTACACTAGTGAGAAATGGAAGAGGTTTAGCATTGTTGGGGAACAATTTTGATCTGAAGGACAGACTAAAAGCGTCTTCATACACACGTGGACCACACCCTGGACCACACATGAGAAAAGTTGACCTAAGACATGTGCGCTGAGAAGCCAGCTGGCCTATATTAATGTCTGCAGTCAACAAAGGCCTGGCCAATGAAATGAGTTCCTTCTCAGCCTCACTTTAAACTCACTGGACTTCCTAGATTTGATATCCTAGGAGAGATCTCCATGGTGTGTTACGACCGCCGCCGCCCCCCCACCCCCCACCCGCTGGCCGCCCCCGACCCGGCGCCCCCGCTGTATGAAAAGCTTATAATGTCACAAAATCTCATTTAGTGTTTACAACAAAACTGGGAATGAGATGTTACCTCTATTTTACCATTGAGTTAATTGATGATCAACTGAGGTACACAATTTGGACTAGCCGCCATCACAGCTGCTGCTCTCAACACAACTTCCAGACAGTTTCCTAACAGCCCTGGAGCCTGGGCTGTGGCTGTCCAACTTGCTCTGAGCTTAGGTTTCCTCAGCAGTAAAATGAAGTAATATTAACTACTTTCCAAAATCTTTGTGGGGATTCAGGCCAACTGCAAAATGATTCAGAAGAATTGCTGAGCAGTGCTGTCTTATTTTAGAGCAAGGCACTATGTGTAAGGGAATGTAGGCTCTAAATTCCATGCTAGCTAATGTACCTGTCCCTCTGATACTGACTATGGTCCTCTCTCCCTGATCTCCACTTTACTTCCCTTCAGTCACTAAAAACTTTGGCCTCACTTACTAGCTTTGCCCTGGGTCACATCAGCACCCACCCATATTCTCCTTGATTTCTCCTGTCTCGGGCTAATTTCCATGTCAATCCTCATCAGTTTCCACAGGCCCCTGCCACACCCTCAGCCTTCCTGAGATCATCTGGAAGAACTACTCTTTTTTTTTTCTTGTACATTTTTAGCTTTGTTGTTGTTAGGTGCCATGGAATTAGTTCAGACTCAGTGACCCTATGTACAACAGAATGAAACTCTACTCTGTCCTGTGCCATTCTCACAATGTTTGAGCCCATCATTGCAGCCACTATATCAATCCGTCTCGTTGAGGGTCTTTCTCTTTTTTTGATGACCATCTGCTTTACCAAGCATATGTTTTTCTTAAGGGACTGGTCCCTCTTGATAACATGACCAAATTCTAAGAGACTGAGTCTCGTCATCCTCCCGTCTAAGGAGCCTTCCTGGTGTGCTTCTTCCAAAAAAGGGTTTGCCTGTTCTTCTGGCAGTCCATGCTGTATTTGGTATTTTTTGCCAACACTATAATTCAAATGCATAAATTTTTCTTGGGTCTTCTTATTCATTGTCGAGCTTTCCATGCATAAGAGGCAGTGGAAAATGCCATGGCTTGAGTTAGGTCCACCTTAGTCTTCAAAGTGACATCTTTGCTCTTTAACACTTTAAAGAGGTCTTTTGCAGCATATTTGCCCAATGAAATACATCAATTTCTTGACTAGTGCTTCCATGGGTGTTGACTCTGGATCTAAGTAAAGTGAAATCCTTGACAACTTCAATCTTTTCTCAATTTATCATGATGTTGCTTATTGGTCCAGTTGTGAGATTTTTTTTCTTTTTATGTTTAGGTGTAATCCATACTGAAGACTGTAGTCTTTGATCTTCACCAGTAAGTCCTTCAAGTCCTCAACACTTTCAGCAAGGAAGGTTATGTAATCTGCATATCTCAGGTTGTTAATGAGTCTTTCTCCAATCCTGATGCCACGTCCTTCACATAGTCCAGCTTCTCGGATTATTTGCTCAGCATGAAGATTGAATAAGTATGCTGAAATTTAAAATGAAATGTAATAAGCTTACTATAATGTATCCAATTCATAAATATACAGCATAATTATTATGAAGTACACTCAGGTAACCACCAACCAAATCAAGAAATAAAATTTTATCACTCAAAAAGCCCCCCTCTTACCCAGAGATAATCACTACACTAATGTAGATTTTGTAGATTTCTTTTATCAGGTTAAGCAGTCCCCTTTTATTCCTATTTTTATTGGGAATGTCAAATCAAATGCTTTTTATCTATTGGGATCACGATGCTTTTTCTTTATTAATGCTTGAGTTACACTGATTTCTGAAATGTTAAATAGATATTGCCATTTCTGGAACAAATCCAACTTGGTTCTGATGTATTATCCTTTTTGCATATTGCTTGATTTGGTTTACTAATATTTTGTTTTAAGATACTTACAGCTATGTTCATGAGTGAAATGGCCTTATAATTTTCCTTTCTTGTATGTAATATCTTTGTCAGGATGTGGCATCATGGTTATGTTGGCTCCCTCCATACAATAAGTTAGGAAGTGTTTTTGGCTGGGTTCTCTGGAAAAGCAGAACCAGTAAAGCTTATATATTGTTGTTGTTGTTGTGTGCCGTCAAGTCAGCCCCGACTCATAGAGACCCCTCCTTGGGTTTCCGAGGCAGTATCACTACAGAAGTAGATTGCCCCATCTTCCTTCCGAGGAGTGGCTGGTGGGTTTGAACCACCAGCCTTCTGGTGAGCAGTCAAGTGCCTTATGCACTAAGCTACCAGAGCTCCAAACTTATATATATAGAGAGAAAAATTTATCTTAGGAAGGAAAATGGCTCACACAGTTATAGAGACTGTAAAGTCCCAAGTTCCTGGATCACACATCAAGCTGGAGGAGTTTCCCAACTCACACAGCTGCAGGGGCTGATGAGTTCAAGATTGGCAGGCAGTATAACGGCCGCTAACTTCGGCAGATGACAAATTCAAGATCATCAGGCAAAATGGTGGATTATTGACTCACAGGACAGTTTTAGGCAGCACAACAAGATCCAGCTCCACAGAAACTTCCCAAATTTTCCCAGGACATCCATATATATATTGGAAGCAGGCCACACCCCTAGGGAAACTCCCTTTCAACTGATTGGCTGCTCAAAGCATATACATCAGATCTCATCATGGGAATAACCACATCATAACGGCTTAAACACTCAGAATGGTGATCCAGCCAAGCTGACACACAACCCCAACTATCACAGGAAGTGGGTTTTTTTTCCTTTTCTTTGGAAGTGTTTGTGTAAGATTGATGTTATTTCTTCATTAAGTGTTTCGAAGAATTTATTGGTAAAGATCTCTCTGCTTCAGGTTTTCTTTGTAGAAAGTTATATATTACAGACTTAATTTTTTTTATATTGAGCTATTGAAGTTTTCTGTATTTTACTGTCAGATTTGTAAAATTGTGCTTTTTAGGGAATTTGTCCATTTCATCTATAATTTCAAATTTATTGGCATAAAATATAATATCATCTTCTTGTTGTTAGGTGCTCTCAAGTTGGTTCCAACTCATATTGACTATGTACAACAGAACAAAATTCTGCCCAGTCCTTCACCATCCTCACAATAGCTGGCATGCTTGAGCCCATCGTTGGAGCCACAGTATCAGTCCATCTCACTGAAGGTTTCTTAATGTGTGTAGGTTTCTAAATGTTGTGGTGTCTCCCTTTTTTTGTTGTTGATCATTTTTGTCAGGAATTTATCAGTTATCAGTTTTTCCAAAGAACTGCCTTTTTTATTAAAAATGTCATTAAACTTTTTTGACCTTTCATTTTGTAGTAGTTTTACTGAATTATTGAGATGGATGTTTAGATGACTGATTTCAGCCTTTCTGTGTGCTCAGTTGGAGCCCATAGATTCAATTTGGTGCCTATAGGGATGTTCCAGAAAATTCTGCTGGTGTTGTGTGGCGTTTAAGACTCTCAAGGTCAGAAACTTCACACTAAGGGAAAGGAATAAATGTGAATTCCTCAGGGGATTATCAGTAGCTGAATGTAGTCTAATTTGCACAATTTAGGTATCATGAGATTCATTAAAACTGTGCAGATTTAAAAAATTAAAAATAGATACATAAACTGTAACAAGGGATTGGCTTCAAAGAGAGAAGGTGCTTTTACTCAGCAACAATCTCCTTTCAGGGAAAGTTTCTGCTCCCATTCCCCTCCCTGACTAGAAATCCAGGGAAGAGGGGCTTATCCTGGCTGCCTTCCTTCTAGTCATCTGACCTCTCTAACCAAGCAGCCTGCGTTGAGACTCCAAACCTCCTCAGGAGCCTGTGGTCCACACGTCAGCATTTTCATATACCATGGGAGGCACCAACATCGTCCTCTACCACAAAAACCAACACCTCTTGTTATTATAATCAAGCCTTACTTATATGAAACAATTGTGTGGGGATCCCTGGTAGGCTTTCCTAGTTTCATCAGCATCTTCCTCCTACTTGGAAGAAAGTGACAGTATGGTGTAGAGGCCATCACGTTCTCTGGCAGCCTTTTGCTAAGGCTTCAGGACAGCTTCTACCCTCCTTGACCTGGAACAGATCTTGGAGATTCAAGGGGGTGCTCAGGAAGGAGCTCCTGCTCAGCCACAGAGGGCATTAGCCAAGGCCTGTGACTATTAGTAGGCTCAGCGGACTGGACTTGACTCTGAGCTCCTTTCCTAGGCAGGGGGTTTCCTGGTCCACCCTACTCTCCAACTGCCACTTCTCTAACTGTCGTTCAGAACTTTGCTTCTGTTGTTGTCCTTTGGATGACTGATGGCCTATGAGTGGGGGAAGCTTTTTTAGGACCAGGTAAAAAACTCATTTAATGATTCTGATATGAGCCAAATGTAGTTTCGTGAAGGAAACTCGGTTGTCATTGTTTTCAACGCTTTGAAAATCTTGTTGCCTCCGCCCTTCTGATTTGCAGGACAGCTTGGGAGGGAACCAGCCTGAGCTTGGTCACTTGGAGTGAAGCCTGCTTTCCTCAGATGAGCTCCACACTTTGTCAAAAAGAGAAATATTTCTTTTTCTCTTCACAATGTAAATATCTTTTTTGTTATACAAATAATAAATGCCCACTGTAAAAGTTCAAGCGATTTAAGGTATAAATTGCAGGGTTTCTCCATTCTTCTGTGCTAGATGTAACCAGATTAACAGTTTGAAGTGTATCTTTCTGATCTCTGGAAATATGTGTTTATAGGATTTTAATGAGGTTTTAGTGAATATTATTCTCTAATCTGACTTTTTCGTTCAAAAGTGTGTTACAGAGAACTTTCCACATTAACCCATATAGGTATGCTTTTTCCTGTGTCAAAATTAAATTTTAAATCATTCCCCTAATGGTGAATATTTATACTTGTTTAAAATTTTTTACAACTATAAACAATGATCCAATGAATTTCCTTATACATATACCTTTGTCTACTTGCGTATTTTTTAATGGGGTAAATTCCTAAAAATATAACTGTTGGTCTAAAGCAATGCATATTTTGAATTGTGATAGGCCCTGACAAATTGCCCACCAAATAAAGTTTACACTCCTACCAACTTCTGTGAGGTTATCCCAGGGCTGAATTATCCCCTAGGCAGAGTAGGTGCAGTGGCAAGGGTCCATGATACTTTCAAGGGCCCTGAACATGTCTTAACTTTATTTTCTTTTAAAATCAGACTTTAAAAAAAATGAATATAGTAATGATGAATATGTAATAATGAATCCAGCCTGGTTTATATTAATCTTTATACCAAAACCAAACCTGTTACCATCGAGTCAATCCCAACTCACGTGAACCCCATGTGTTATAGAGTAGAACTGCTTCACAGGGTTTTCATGGCGGTAATCTTTATGGAAGTAGACTGACAGGCACCTCTGGGTGGGTTCGAACCACCAACCTTTAGGTTAGCAGTCAAGCGCAAAATATATTTTTAATACTGTTTTATGGCGGAGGGGACCTGTAGAGGCAAATGTGCCTAGGGCCCATGCAAGTCATAGTGTAACCCTGAATTACCCTATTTCTTCACATCCTTGCAGTTCTAAGAATTATCTTTTTAATTTTTGCCAGTCTTTTATGCCCAAATGACATTTCACTGTTTTTTTTTATTTGCAGTTCTCTGTTTTCTTATCTTCTCCTAAGTTTATTGACCGTTTAAATTTCCCTATTATTTGCCTACTTAGGTTCTTTTCTCGTCTTTCTATTTTGTTGCCCATCTTTTTCTTATTAATGTGTAAAAATTTCTTTTTAACGTATAATAAATATTGTACATATTTTTTTCAAATTTGCATTTCAAATTTATTTTTATTTTTTTATAATGACATTTAAAATATTTCTGTACCTCAAATTTGTTAAGTATTTCTTCTATGCCATTCTTACAAAGGCTTGCACAAATATTTTTTCCTTCACCCAAGTTAATATGAATCTACCCTCTTGTTAGTTGCACAAATATTATTTTATATTTTCTTGTAGAATATCTATGACTATTCCTATTTATTGTAATATTTTTAATTCATCTGGAATGTATTTTTGTGTAGGGTCATAGGGTGTGAATTAGCTATTAAAGTTGATTTTCTTTGCCAAATATATAGCTAATTGTCCTAACACCATAGGACAAGAGTTTGAAATGCCTCCTTTATCAGATATTAAATTCCCATATATACACTGAGTCTCTTTCTTGGGTCTATTCTATTCCATTGATCTATTTATCAATTGCCTGCTAATACTGCACTTTTAACTTATATAGCTTTACGGTATTTTGATTTCTGATAAGGTAAATCACTACCATCTTCCTCCCATAATACTTCTTTTTCCATTTTCTTCTGATTATTCTTACATATTTACACCTTCTGACGAATTTAGAGTTATATTTTAGAGTTGTTGTTGTTGTTGTTTTGTGCCGTCAAGTCGGATCTGACTCATAGCGACCCCTTCTTGGTTTCCGAGGCAGTATCACTACGGAAGTAGATTGCCCAACCTTCCTTCCGAGGAGTGGCTGGTGGGTTTGAACTGCCAGCCTTCTGGTTAGCAGTCAAGTGCCTTAGGCACAGCGCTACCAGAGCTCCCATATATATATATTTTATTTTAAGTACTGAATAAAAAATTCTCAGTGAATTTTGTAAATCTGAGAGATTAACTTTAGGAGAGGGTACATCTTTACAAAACTGAGTCCGGTATGCCATCAGACTTTCTTTCCATACCACATGCCAGCATGTCCTTCAGTTTGTCCAAGCCTTTGCCATCTCAGCAATCTCCTTCTCAAACTCCTCCTCTTTTTAGGGCAGGCAGCCAGTAACAGGGGGTTTGCCTGAGTCTTCATGTTCTCCATGAGGTTAATGGGGACCTAGTCCTTTGTCAGGAGCTCTGGTAGCATAGTGGCTAAGACACTTGCCTGCTCACCAGACGGCTGGCGGTTCAAACCCACGAGCCACTCCTCGGAAGGAAGGTTGGGCAATCCTACAGTAGTGATACTGCCTCAGAAACCCAAGGAGGGGTCGCTACGAGTCAGGGCCGACTCGACGGCAAACAACAACAACAACAGTCCTTTGTCATTTGGAGTCAGTTTAGTATGGTTTTCTAACAACTGTGTTCTGGCTGCAAACCATCGTGGCCAAGTCTACCATCATCCCTTTTCTGGATTTCTGGTCACCTTGCTTCCGCTTTTGCTTACCTGACCCATTCTGTACACTATACACAGAATAATCTTTCTAGTCAGATCCTCATGGTCCCCTGCTGGAGAACTTTCAGATCCCTCATTGTATTAGCTTCTTTTGCTGCTGTAACAAATAACTGCAAACTTAATGTCTTAAAACAACAGAAATTTATTGTCTTACTGTAGCTCAGAAGTCCAAAATCAGTTTGATTGTGCTAAAACCAAGGTGTCAGCAGGGCTATGTTCCTTTCTGGAGGCTCTAGGAAAGAAGTATTTTATCTCCTTTTCCAGCTTTTAGAGGCTGCCTGCATTCCTTTTCATGGCCCTTTCCTCCATCTTCAAAGCCAGCAATTGCATCACTCTGACCTCTGATTCTGTCTTCACATCTCCTTTCCTGACCCCAACCCTCCTGCTTCCCTCTTGTAAGTATGATCGTAAGGATGCTTATGATTACCTTGGGCCCGCCTGGGTAATCCAGGATAATCTTCCTATCTCAGGAGCTCTTACTTAATCTTTTGCCAGCTCCTTTTGCCACTTAAAGGACCATATTCACAGGTTCTAGGGATTCGTATGTGGACGTCTTTGAGAGGCCATTGTTCTGCCTGCTATACTTGTGGCCTTCAGGATGATGTCCAGACTCCTTCATTTCTCTTGCCAGACCCTCAGTGACTTGCTCCCACTACCCTTCTGGCTAACCTCGTTACACTCTCCCCTTCTAACTTTCCGCTCTGGCCACATGAACTTCTTCATGTTTACAAAACCTGCCTTTTCTACTTTCTCTAGTCTTGCCATAGGCTGGTTCCTCTGCCTGGGATAATCTTTTCCCACCTCTTTGCTTGGCTAATTCCTACTCATCTGCCAACCCTAATTTAAACCTCACCCTCTCTGAAGTTTTTAAAAACCTTGCCCCTTTTAGCCTCTTTCCTCAGATTTTGTTATGGTCTGTTAGATTATCTTCTATTGTCTCTGGCCTTGCTCATGTCACCATCATATTATAGCTGGCTTAATTATCTTCTCTTCAAAACTGTAAGCTATTTGTGATGGAGATGATAAGGAAAGCTCCATGCTTTCCATGTAAAAGAGGGCTTATTAACTCCTTGTTACATAAGTTTGTAAAAACACTAATTTCATAATAGAATGCAAATTATTTTACTCTTCTGGTCTCATCTTACAAATATTTATTCATCATTCATAAATACCTATTGAGCATGGACTCAAGAAATACTGGGGAAAGGCAGTTAAAATTAAGAAAAAAATTATCTACATGTTATGAGGATGCTAACTCAACGGCAGTGTGTTGCATTAAGATTGTAGCAGTCCGGTCATAAAGACATGAATAACGATTCTCCCCACTCCAGGAAGATGGACTTGGAGGTCAGTGAACCAATAAACTTTAGTTCTGGAGATCAATTACATCTGGTTCGGAAAGCATCAGATAATGAGGATGGCCAGCCCAAATCTGGTCAGCACTACACATCTTCACCTTCAGCTGGGCAAAAACAAACTCCTGGGAATCCTAAATCAAAGGCCGATCAGCGAGCAGGTGTCTATGTGGTACAAATTTCAGACGAGAACAGCCCGGATGACAGCAATGCAAATGCAGACAACCCATTCTCAGACTCATCTGTCCGGAGAGGTAAGAGTAAAAAATTACCTTTTTGGAAGAGAAAAGCAAATGTCTTAAAAAGTTTCCACAGAGTTGATTGTCAGAAAGATTGAATTTTGCTTTTGTTTTTTTCTGCTCATGCTTTACCATGAAACATGTAGGACTGCTATAGTAGACTGCTCCAAGTTGTCCAAGGGCCTTCAGAAACTCATAATAAATATATTATGGTAGATAATTTTTAGTTTTCTTAGAAAATAGCTATTAGCCATTGGTTGTAGAATGTTTTCACCTGCATATAAGATGATACCATAATGTTGGCTTCAGTTTTTTAAAAATATTAATTCAATGTCTTAAATATTAATGCAGGAGCTCTGGTAGCATAGTGGCTAAAAGCACTTGACTGCTAACCAGATGGCTGGTGGTTCAAACCCACCAGCCACTCCTCGGAAGGAAGGTTGGGCAATCCTACTTCCGTAGTGATACTGCCTCGGAAACCCAAGGAGGGGTCGCTATGAGTCGGGGCCGACTCGATGGCACATAACAACAACAAATATTAACGAGTTAGGAAATACATTCAGCTGTGAGTAGTAGAAACCTAAAATACAGTGGCTTAAACAAATGAAAAGTTTTGTTTGGAGGTAGGCAATTCAAGGTTCATGCTGCCGGCCCCTGGTGTTCACTGGGACCTAGGCTCTTTTGAGCTACTACTCTGAACCCTTAGGCCTTCTTTGGGTCTGGACAACTTGGAGGAGGATTGTAACTTTGAACCCCATTGCTGTCTTCCTGTGGCCCCCATCCTTCATCCTGTGGCTGAAAAGATGCCTCTGGAGCCCCAGATTTCTAGGTAAAAGAAAGGAAAGGCAACAGCCAAGGTAATAAAGGGCCAAGGCAGGCCCACCACATTCCAGGGGGTGCCATTCATGGATAGGTACCTTGAGAATCAGCCAAATCTGATGCCTTTTCACAGACTTTTCCCAGAAACCACATGAAAGAGCTTCCAGTTACATGTCACTGGCCCCACTTGTGTCACATGGCCACCTGTATCTGTAGTGTTTTAGGTGGGCCAATTCTCTTCCTTAACAAGATTTGGATATGCTAGTGAGGGAGCTATGAGTCGGGGCGACTCGACGGCACAACAACAACAAACAGCAGCAGCAGCAGTGAGGGAGCTGGAGAGATTGGATGTCAGTAACCAACCAGAAGCCTCTGCCACAAGCACCAACCCTTTCTGGGATATTATACAAGGGAAACATTTCATTTAGTTCTTAACAGCAACCCTATACTTAATTAGTATTATTGCCGTTTTACAGATGAGGAAAAGAGGCTTAAATTGGTATCACTGCTACATTAAAAAAAAAAAAAATGTAAAGCCTTCCCACTAATATTTGAATTAGTTATTTGTATCTGTCTCATCTATAGGGCAGAGGCTCCCCTGCCAACCCTTAAACTGTAAAATATACGAGAAGATGAAAGTTCTCTGGAAAAAAAGGAAAAGTAGCATAGGATAATGGATTAAGAAGAGAAATGGAGATGAGGGCTACACATTTTTAAATCAGAGTTTTTGAGATATAATTTGTTTGTTGTTAGTTGCCATCAAGTTGATTCTGACTCATGGATATAATTTACGTACCATAAATTCATCCTTTCAAGTGTACAACTCAGTGGTTTTTAGTATATTTCCAGCGTTGTACAGCTATCACCACAGTGTACTTTTAGAACATTTTCATCACCCCTAAAAGAAATCCATTCTCATTAGCAGTCACTTCCCATTCCCTCAAGCCCCTGGAAACTGTTAATCTACTTCATGCCTTTATGAATTTGCCTATTCTAGACGTTTCATGAGAGCTCTGGTAGCGTTAGTGCCTAAGGCATTTGACTGCTAACCAGAAGGCTGGCGGTTCAAACCCACCAGCCACTCCTCGGAAGGACAATGGGGCAATCTACTTCCTTAGTGATACTGCCTCAGCAACCCAAGGAGGGGTCGCTATGAGTCGGGTTCGACTCGATGGCACATAACAACAATAACAACAGAAGTTTCATATAAATGGAACCATACAACATGTGATCTTTTGTGATTGGCTTCTTTCACTTATTGTAATGTTGTCAAGGTTCATCCATGTATTATTGTTGAATAATATTCCATTGCCTGAATATACTACTTTTGTTTATCTGTTCATCAGTTGACGACCATTTGGGTTGTTTCCACTTTTTGGTATAATGCTCCAATGAACATTTATGTACAAGTTTTGGGGAAGATGTATGTTTTCCTTTCTCTTGGGTGGATACCAAGGAGTGGAATTTCTGAGCTATATGGTAACTGTACGTTTAACATTTTGAACAGCTGCCAAACTTTCCTAAAGTGGCTGCACCATTTTACACTTCCACTAGCAGTGTACGAGAGAAATGAAGTTCTGATATAAGCTATGACATGGATGAATCTTAAAGACATTATACTGTGTGAAATGAGTCAGAGAAAAGAACAAATTGCCATATTGTCTGAATAAGTTAGACAGAATAGATACATGATTTCCACTTAAATAAAATATCTACAGTAGGCAAATACATTGAAACAAAAATTAGTTAGTGTTACTAGGGACTAAGGGGAAGGAGAATGGGAAGTTATTGCTTAAAGGATACTGAGTTTCTGTTTAGGTTGATGAAAAACATTTGGAAATGGGTAGTGGTGGTATGGTGGTTACGTTTATGTGTCAACTTGGCTGGGCCTGGTTGAGTGGCTGGGCAGCTGAATGTAGTTATTCCCCATGGTGAGATTGGTAATTAACTCCATGGTGGAATCTATTGGAGTAGCTGAGTAGCTGCTTTGCGTATGTAGTCTGCTTCCCATATATAAGAAACAGCTTTGGAAATGATCTCTAGCTTATGGCATACTGGAACCCTGCGTTTTGCCGTGTCGTTGTTCAGCAAGCTGCCATGCTCTGCCGGACTTGGGACTTTCAGTGGATTTAATTAATGGTCTTCCATGTGGTTTGGTAACATCAGGACTGTGCCTTTTTACTTGTCAACCGTGGGTTTGTCTGTCTCAACAGCCAGCAGCTGTCTGAGTGAAGAAAAGCCTCTAGCTCCATGGGCCAGGAGCAGGAGGCAGAGCTGAAGTCAGGCTGAGGGGCTTTCACTCAGTCCCTAGAGGCTGGCACTTTGAACTCAGACTTAAAGCTCCAAATTTTAAGAATAAACTCCTGTTTGTTCAAGCCATCCCATTTGTGGTACATTCTTGTCAGAGCGGCACTAGGTAACCAGAGCAGGTGGTGATTGCACAACAAGGTGAATGTAATTAATGTCGCTAAATAGTATACTTCAAAATGGTTAAAATGGCAAATGCTTTGTTCTATATATTTTACCATAATGACATAAAAGACTTAAGAGAAAAATTTTCTTCATGGAGAATCAAAATACTTTATTCCTAAAGTTTTCTTAGACTCATAGTTCATTACATTTATACTTTAGTTTGTGTCATAAGAGATCATGTTTCTGTCTCCTCAGCTTTCATTAGAAAAGTATTCCTCCTCCTAACAATGCAATTGGTTGTCACCGGAGCAGTTGTCAGTGTGTTCCTTTTCTGGTAAGTCTTTATTGCTGATACAGAATTAAATGTCAGATTGTTCAAATTTATTATTATCGAATCAGCTTGATTTCATTTACATCATTTAGAAATTCTTACCTCTTTTTTCTTGGTCATTCGTGGCAATAGTATTTCTATGGAAATGCGTGGCAGCCCAAATGACTACTAGCCTAAGGTTTGGCAGTTTGAACCCACCCAGAAGCACCTTGGAAGACAAGCCTTGCAATCTGCTTCCAAAAGGTCACAGCTTTAAAAACACTAGGGAACAGTTCTATTCTGTACCCATGGGATCACCATGAGTCAGAATTGCCTCAACAGCGACTCATAACAACGAAACAACCACAGCATTTCTATGGCTTTATTTTTCTGAGACACTCCTAGACCCAGGTGCTGGCAGATTTTTAGAATGTTACTTCAACTTCTTAAGCCAAGAACTTTTTCTTTTACTCTTATTTTTTGCACTGTTTTCTTTCTTTTTTTAAAAAAACATCGATCCTTGAGCTATTACATAGCTTGAATTGGATGAAGAATAAAGGTGAGATTATGGAGGCTGACGCACTGTTAAGTTCAGCAGTTACTGAGGAAGTGTGAACCATCACCGTTATGAGCCATTCTATGAAAGTCTATATCTACAAAACAAATATATTGGAAATTATTATTATTTTTTGCTTTGCACACATATCAATCCCAGTATTTTTCAAAATAAAAAGTTCACTAGGACATTTGCAGTTACCTAAATTCGACTTACAACTTTTTATGGACATAGCCTTTCATGAATATATCTATTTAAAGAATAACCATGGTTATGTTTTACTCTTCATCTGTCACGGGTCACCAGTCTTTAGGGTTTCCCTTTCTTCTCATGATATTGTTTTGCTTCTGCTTAAATATTATATTAGTTTGCAAAATATACTATTTATTGTAAAAAATTATTTATTGTGTAAAACTGTTTATGGATTTATTTTAACCAGGAGAAATTTAAAGGTTTGGATACTCCTGAACCCCTGGTTCACCTATGCACTCTTGTAAGTATCATTGTATTTTTTTTTTTTTTTTCTGGAGGGAATACCAACTTTTATTTACAGCTTGGGTTCAAGTTCAGAGGCTAGCGTAGTAGGAAAAAGCACAGATCCTGAGACCAAGGTTCAAATCCCAGCACAAGCATATCAACAGTGACAAGTGGCAAACAGTACTCTCAGTTTCCTCAGTAAAGAGGGGAGAGTACCACCTATGATCTTCCAGCGACTGTTACAGCTGCCTCAATCCCAGCCCCTGCTTGGGGGCTTGCAGGCAGCTCAGCTGACAGAGCTTGGGCTCTGCAAGTACCTCTCAGTTCTGCTGTTGAGAAGGCAGTGCTCTTGCAGAGCTCCCCACCCTATCTTTCACCACAGGCAATAGCTATGGATCTTCAGAACCATGAGAAAAACTGCATATAGGTGCTCAATAAATATTATTTACAAGTCTGGCCCAGGGCAAGGACAGGGGACTTGTACACAGCAGCTATTTCATACATAGTTGTTAATTCTGAGGGAGAAAGGAGATGATGTCTTTATCTGTGACACTTTTGCTGGGACCCCCTTTTCATTTGATTAACCTGATTTTAAAATCATATACTTATTACTATCTTACTTATTAAAAGCAGTTCTTCTAATAGCTTGATTGACTTTTTTTTTTTTAATAGAAAAATGAGGTAAAGGTATAACATTCCTGAAATGACAACATTGTAAATATGAAAGACAAAGTCATGTTTGCCAGGACTTAGGGATAGCTGTATGTGTGTATATTATTATAAAGGGGTAGCACCAAGGGAGATCTTAGTATGGAACAGATCTGAATTTTGATTGTAGTGGTGGTTTCACGAATCTATACATAGATTTGTCTCATAGTTTTATAACATAGAACTATTATATATCCACATTGTACCAATATCAGTTTCCTGGTTTTGGTATCGTACTAGAAGAATGTAAGTGGTAACCATTGAGAGAAACTGGGCAAAGAGTACATGGGACCTCTTTGAACTATCTTTGCAATTTCCTGTAAATCTATAATTATTTCTCAATAAAAAGCTTTTTTTTTTTTTTTAACAAAGCAACAATAAGGTGTCTGTGAGTGGCAACAAGAAAAGTTAATTTTAAAAGGTTAATCAAATGAAATAAGGGTAATATTTTTGTTTACTTTGTAATACTTATCATACCATGTCATATAATGATACATTAACATATACCACGTACAATGGTCATTAGAAGTAAATAACACGAGGTTTAAATTACCCTTCAGAGCAGCATTTTTCGTGGTGCTCTTTGTTCTGGCTTGCTGTGGGGATCTCCGTCGTCAGGTGCCTGCAAATTATATTCTCCTAGGATTGTTTGTAAGTAAACCTTGTTGGTACCTATTCTAGGTCACCCCTGCAGTGTATTTTGGTCATGTAATTAGATTTGTTCCTTTTATTGTGGAAGTTCTTCCTGAGGAATGACTGAATCCTGGCTGTAATGATGTAATAGACTTACATCCTTTTTGTAAATTGGAGAATTTGGAAATCCTGGGCTACTGCTTTGTGTTGGCCAGCTTGCCTCAGTTAAGGCCACACGGGGGACCCCTTCTCATTTGAGAAACAGCTCATCTAATTGCTACTGGACCTTGGTCAGGTCGGCCCTGACTCATGGTGACTCCTCCTTGGGTTTCCAAGGTGGTATCACTATGGAAGTAGGATTGCCCAACCTTCCTTCCAGGAGTGGCTGGTGGGTTTGAACCACCAGCCTTCTGGTTAGCAGTCAGATGCCTTAGGCACTATGCACCAGCGCTCCCAGAATAAGTCATTAGTCATGCAAAATTCTATCATGCAATCTCCAGCATCATTTCTGTCACCAAGGCCATGTTTTTCAACTACTGATCATTCTTCTTTGTTTCCAACTTTCTCATTCCAATCACCAGTAATTATTGATGCATCTTGATCGAATGCTTGATAGATTTCAGACTGCAAACGCAAACGCAACCACTGCCGTGGAGTCGGATCCAACTCATAGTGACCCCTCCTTGGGTTTTCAAGGCAGTATCACTACAGAAGTAGATCACCGAACCTTCCTTCTGGGGAGTGACTGGTGGATTTGAACCACCAGCCTTCTGGTTAGCAGTCAAATGCCTTAGGCACTATGCCACCAGAGTTCCCTTTCATACTCCAGATGTTGGTCAAAAAAATCTTTAATTTCTTCATCTTTGGCTTTACTACTTCAGTGTAAACCAAAACAAAACCAAACTCACTGCTGTCAAGTCAGATCTGACTCATAGGGACCCCTCCAAGATGGTATCACTACAGAAGTAGATTGCCCAATCTTCCTTCCAAGGAGTGGCTGGTGCATTTGAACCACCAGCCTTCTGGTTAGCAGAAGCTTTTCCCAAAGCTGAAGACTGGTGCTCATGATGGGGCATTTCCTCAGCTGCCAGAGCACTGGGGGATGTTGCATAGTGGGTTAGCTACTTCTCAGGTGAGTAAGTGGGTCCCCTGTTCTTGACAGAGCACAGACATCTTGAAGCAAAGAACAGTGGGTAGGCGAAAGGAGCTATTTTTTCCAGACTTTTTTGAATATTTTATAGTAATGTTTTTTCATGTTTACTAGAAGAAGTTACAAAAGTTATTGGTCTCAAAGGGAGCTTTTTACTTCAGAGCAGTTTACCTCAGAATAGATAACAGCTTAAGAGAAGAAATACTCTAGAGTGTAAAACATTAGTTATATTTTCTAGATTCAATGTCTTCTCCAGGTGTGAAAGAATATATGGAGAAAACCATTACTTAAAATGGATTGAGGGGGAAAAAAAGACAACATTTACTGCAGACAGCATGTGCCTTGTAGAATTTTGGTCCCTTGAATACATGCTCTGAACTCTTAAAGTCCTAAGCAGGTTTTACTTCTAAGGCATCTTGTTACTCATTTTTTTACTCTTCCCAAAACGGCAAGGCAATTTCCAGCTTGAAATCTGTTTTCCCACTCTCTCCTTCTTTCTTTCACACACACACACATACACATACACACACCTACTTTTTATGTGCTGCCAAAAATGGAGAAATATGAAAAAAGTGAGCTAGTGAAAGAAGATGAGATTTTGAGAGGAAGATTGGAAGCAAGCACTTTATTAAAGTGTTATGTGGCAATTGAGCAGATACATCTTTTCTTATAATGGAAATAAAGACAGCCTTCTTAGCTGACTTTAACCAAGTAGAGAATTGGGCAATTATCTACTGGGTTTGGGAGGTCCTGAGAGGCAACCCAGGGCTTCCCTGGATTCTAATTCTTCTCCAGGCTTTGACACTGTGTGTGGTTGGCTAACTGGAGTTCAAGCCCCTCTAGTAGTTTCAGCCTTTCAGGTAGAATGCTCACTTTTACTCCTTGAATCTGAAGGATTCTTTCTTGGTTCTCCTTATGGATCAGCAGCTTAGCCAAGTCTCCGGACTTGTCTCTGAACAGGCATCTGACCAGTTCAGGCTTTTCTTTAGGCCCTAGAACCGGTGCTCACTGTAGTTCTCATGTCCTGTGCCTGCTGTCCCTCATCCTGACTGTGGGTCTGGGCATGTCCTCATTGCCTTTCTTGGCTTTCTCCTTCAACTTGACTATTTGCTGGCTCTCAGCTCTGCTTCTCACCCACATGGCACTCTGCCCACACAGCTCCAGATTCCAGCTCCATGTGGACAATGGGAACCCTCCAGCTCTGGTCTAGGCTCTCACACAGCCTCATGCACCCCCCTCCCAGCCTTTGGTTGGCACCTACAGATCCAGCTCCATACTCTGTGGGACATTGCCCTCCAATCCTATCTTCTGGCACTGAGAAGTTCTCAATTATCTTCCATGTCTGAGGTCTTGGATGTATTTTATTCTCACTCAGGCACTATGGAAAGGGCCAGTAGTGAAACTGTTGGTGAAACACTGGTAGAGATAGCATATCCTGCCCTGATATTATGTGGATGGCCCTATTTTATTAATGACAATATGATTTCCACATTCTTAATTAATACACATTTAATTCACTGAATTTGTTGAAAGTTACTATTGTGTTCTAAGAAGATTTTACTGACAAAAGAATTTGTTCTTGTCAGTTTTGGGGAGAATGTTAAGGAAATGTTTAGTTCTTCTGTTTATTTACCATAATCACCCTATAGTTTTGTGCATAGGTCTGTGCATGCCCTCACTGCTCCTTAGGCCTGCACAGATGCACAGGCCTTAACCTCCTCTGAATCTGGGCCTCTGCCACACACCTCAGGAATCAGCTTCTGACTTATTGTGAATTTTGTTTTTAGACAGTTCTTCAAGGTCTGCTGCTAGGAACTGTATCTGTGTAAGTCTTTGATACGTATTTCCTTTTTCTTTTGGATGCTTTCCTTGGAGTGTATTTGAATAATAACCACAGTCTCTGATTTTAGTTTCTATAATGCTGAGGAAGTGTTATGGGCAATAGGAGCCACTGCTCTGGTGACATTATCGCTGACTTTCTTTGCTCTACAAACAAAAGTACGTATCCTTGAAGCCTATTTCCATCACAAGGGAGGTACTAAGACATCTTCCTTTACCCCCCTCCCTGCTCTCTGCTGTCCTGTGGGCCTCACTCACATCTATGGCTCTTTTGCTCGTGGCTAGCCATGGGGTTTGACCAGTAAAGAACCTAACCAGAGATTGCAGGGAAGGAGGAGAGAGGTAGAGATACTTATTCCCATGGTATTTTCCCAACAAGTCCCTCTTGGGCTAGGTGTGTTCCTTAACCAAAATTTGCTGCTCACCTCAAGTCAGTCAATTCAATACACCTGCCTCCTTCTGGGTTCCATTAACTGTTCCCTCTCCCCTTCCTTGGGCCTGGAGTTATGGCTGTGTGCCATCCAGTCGATTCCACTCATGGTGACCCTAAGGGCTGAGTAGAGAACTGCCCCATAGAGTGTCCTAGGCTGTAAACTTCATGGAAGCAGATCACTGGGTCTTTCCTCCCATGGAGCCACTGGGTGAATACAAGCTGCTGACTTTTCAGTTGGCAGCTGAGCATTTAATCCTTGTGCCACCAGCCCTCCTTCCCCTTGGGCCTAGAGGTGGTAATAGTTCTCTGGCTCCTAGCCTAGGTTACTGCACTGCCCCTTAGTGTTACCCTACATGAACAGTTTGTATTTCATTCCTTTATAAATAAACCCTCTGACCATCCTAAGGAGCTCTGGTGGCATAATGGACAAGGCATTTGGCTGTTAACCAGAAGGTCAGTGGTTCAAACTCACCAGTTGCTCTGCAGAAGGAATATGAGACAATCTATTTCTGTAAAGATTTACAGCCTTGGAAACCCAGTGGAGGTCTCTGAGTTGGAATCAACTCGATAGCAGTGAGTTTGGTTTGGTCTAAGCATCCTATTCAAGTGTGCCATCTGTTCCCACCGCACCCCTGATACAGGGAGTTTAAAAATGAAAAAGTTGTACAGTTCACCAGGGTTCAAGAGTGCCAAGATTTCCCAGGGAATATAATTTAATTTGAGTCTTCAACCATAAGACAGATGCACCTTGAGATCTGATGAGTTATTTTCACCAGTCCATTCTTTCAGTTCTGGGCATTTTCCTTTAGTAAATGATGGCTCTCCTTATTCAGTAATAACTGAAACAGGAGGGAGTATATTTTTTGAATTGTTTGGTATACAAATTGGATGGAGAATTTTAGCCTTTTCCTGGTGGAAAAAGGAAGAAGCATCAGAGTGGCAGAAAGGTCTACTAAATAACTAGTCATATTTCTCAAAAGTTAGAGATTCAACTCTAATTTCGTTATCAGGGCAGTATCTGCCATGTCTTAGCTGGTCATATGTAGAAACCATATTGGCCTCTCTGCAATGAGCAAGGAGAGTCCCTAGGTAGTGCAAATGGTTAATGTGCTTGGTTGTTAACTGAAAGGTTGGAGGTTAAAGTCCACTCAGAGGCACCTGGGAAAGCAAGCCTGGTGATCTTCTTCCCAAATACCAGCCATTGAAAATGCTGTGGAATATAGTTCTACTCTGATACATGTGGGGACTTTAGGGGTCACGGCTGACTTGATGGCAACTGGCTAATAAGTGAGGTGGGCCTTTTAAAATCTTCTAAAATGCCAGTATTTTATGTTACAGGTGCCCTATGGCCTGGGTTCAGTGGAATGAATATCACATTGGAAAATATTTTAAAGATGGTTCCAGTTTTTATGCTTTACATTGATGATTTTGAAAGGCAGCTCAACTCATGTTAAGTTAGACAACATTTTTTTTTTTTCTAAGTTATATGGTGAAAGTTGCAAAATTTACTCTTACCATGGGCTGCAGAGGAAATGTAGGTACACAGTGAAGCTGAGTTTTCTCACTAATGAACTAAATGTCCACTTGGTTTAAATGTAATCTGATCCCATAATTAAGTGGTTCTTTTGGGCAGGGAGATAGTTTCATGTGGATAAAAAATAATGCTCGGTCTCTCAGCCTCCTGCTCCCCCTACTTTTCTCTTGAAGATGGAGGAACTGGGATGAAGGCGTGGCTTGTCTGGAGCTCATGGCACTGGACAGGAAGTGGGGACTGGGTGCTATGACCCATTCATGTTCCTGAGCGACTGTTGCCTGAATCCTCAAGTCACTGCATGCTCTGTGGGTCTCGGAAGCTGATGTTCACCACTGAGTGACCTGGAACCTGCCGTCTCTTGGGCCTGGTCAGAGTTGACAGGGCTGTGTGGCTGATTTCACTTCATCCAGTCATCTTCCCCCCAGCCACCCCCAAGAAGTTGGCAGTTTGAACCAGCTCTTCAAGCCAGTTCATTTCAGTTCAAGCTCCTGTGAGAACTTGCATTTCTACCCCAAATATACTGAACCAGAATCACCCCAGATACGAGTCACGTGGGGATCTTGTTAAACTGTAGATTCTGATTCAATATCTGACACACATGGAGTTGCTGTGAATTGGAATCGACTCAACAATAACTTTTTAATTCAAAATATTATCATTCCAATATATAATCAATATAACAAAAATATTAATTATGACTTTTTTGAATTGATATGACACTTTTTTGGAGTAAATTTTTGAATCCAATATGTCTTTAACATCGATAGCACATCTCAGTTCAGACTAGCCACGTTTCAAGTGCTGAATAGCCTCATGCGACTAAGTGGCTACTCTGTTGAGAACACAGCTCTAGACAAATGTTATTGTGCCTCAGAATCACCTGGAAGGCTTATTAAAATAGACTGATGGGCACCACCTCCAGAGTGTCTGCTTCAGGAGAGGGGTGTAGGGGACAGTAATTTTCCTTTTTCAGGTGGTGCTGATGCCTCCAAACTGATAACCCCTCTTGAAGAACCAGTGTTTTCGATTATTCTATTGACGAATGAAGGGTGGGGAGTACAACAAACAACAACTGGTCACCACTAAGCTGACTCTGGCTCTTGGTGACTCCCTGTGTGTCAAAGTAATCCTGGGTTCCACAGGGGGTTGTACCCCCTAGTGGCTGTGATCTTTCAGAAGTCCACCACCAGACCTTTCTTCCCAGGTGCCCCTGGGTGGATTCAGACTCTCAAACTTTTGCTTAGTAACGGAGTGAGAAACCATTTGTGCCACCCAGGAGGAGAGGGGAGTTAGGGAAACATCTGTGCATGGAAATGGCTTGAACTCAAGGCTATTCTTTTGTGACATGATCAATTTTTTCAGGCCAGAAGGTGAATATTTCCTTTGTTTTAAAAAAAATCTTAACCTCCACCAGGCTGATTTGGGTCATTGATTTATAAAACAAAAAAAACACATGAATAAAGTATAAAATTATAAAAGAATCATTAACAGTAATTTTAAAAGCTTACTCTGTATTTTTCATTGAAATATATGCATATAAACGTGAAAAACTTACCCAGTTAATATTTTTGTATATTTCATTCCATTAATGTTTCCTATGCACAAGCTTTGAAAAATATGAATAATTACAATCATACTATGCTTATAAATTTATGTCCTCCTTAGTCAATGTACCTTTTTATTATAAGAGGAAATTAATATAAATAAGAAAATAGAATAATATAATAAAATCCCATGTACTTATTTCCCAGTTTCAAAAATGATCAACTCATGGCTACTGTCATTTCATTTGCATCCTTACTCTCTCCTCCCTCTAGAAACAAATCCCAGTCAATACAATACTTATTGTGTTGTATTATGTACACTTATGTGTAACACTTTTTAGTGGTTGGGGCTAATAGATTTCCATGATTCTCTGAACTGGCCATGGGGGAACATTATAAGCAAATGGGCCAGTTTCTATCTGCAGTTTATAAGATGTATCTCTAAACACCCCAAAATTTCTTCTTGGTAATAATTGAGTTGTTTTTGTGCTGTTAATGTTTCCTCAGTGGGATTTTACCTTGCTAAGTGGAGTACTGTTTGTTTCTCTCTTAATACTTCTAATCTATGGAATTCTCATCATCTTCATACGATCATATGTAAGTAGGATCTTATTTGGTAATTGTTAGAAATGCATGTAAACTGCTGGTTGCGTTAGTGCGGTCCTCTGAGAAGCAGACACCAAGATGGGGTTAAACATACAAGGATTTTATTAGGGGAGAAGCCTGTGAAAAAAAAATGGGGAGGGAGCTGGAGAAGATGGGATACTCTCAGACTCCATGTGAAGGAGAGAAGAAGGTTAGATGCTGTGTTTTAGATGTGGTAGAGTCTGAGGCAGGTTCAGCAAGACCCTCAGGGAGTCCTTGAGCCAAAATCAGCAGTCAGAGTAGATGCCTGTTTCCCAGGAAGGAGCCTAGTGCTCCCAATCAGTGACTGAGAAGTGAGAAATATAGCCTTGAAGCAATGGATTTCAGAGCCCAGCAACTGGAGCAACTGGTTACTTAAGTTCCTGGCAGCTGGAGGTCTGTGAGGCTCATCCTCATAGCCACCATATTGGTCTTGTTGGAAAGGTACCATGGAGCTCCTTCCCTAGACTACAGTTGTCTTTTCCCAGGGGGGCCTTGAGAGGAGCAAAGGGGCATGCCAGGCTCCCTCTCCTGTGTATGGATGGGGTTGGAATGGGGGCTTTCTATTAGATGATTTGCCTCTTGTCTTCTCTCAGAGGTTTTCCTTTTAGCTTAGTGTCCTTTGTGTTTGATTACAGTAGCATCACTTGTCCTTGAAGTGTAAGTTTCCAAAGCTAGGGTCAAGGACTCCAAAACTTCTTTAGAACAATACACAGCTAAGGGCCATGTGATGAGAACATAGCTCCCCCCCCCCCCCGCAATTTGGATTGAAATATTTTGAATTTATATGAGTTTATCTATAAGGTTTATCTATAAGTTGCACCTAGATGGTTTATAGGAAAATTACCGTGTAGTTTAAAGATGTCTCCTAAGAATATTAAATAACATTTGATGGATGTGGACAGGAGTTAGCAGGTGGTGCTACTTGTTTGGAGTAATAGAAAGGATGGGTTTGTTTGTCCTTTTCCAATAGCAGTCTAGAGGAGGATCCTCATTTTCCAATTCTAACATTTTTTTTTTGTATGTGTGTGTGCTTAAATACATTCATTGAGTGCTTACTAGATGTCAGACATAGACCTATAGGTTTTTTACATAGGTGATCAAATTTAATTCTCACCACATTCCTGAAAAGTACGTATCTCATCCATTTTATATACAAGAAAACAGGCTCAAAGAAATTAAATAAATCATCCAAGTTCACACACACAGTAAGGGGCAGAGGATGGCATCACAGTCAGGTCTATGTGACCATGCTTTTTCCCCTGATATACAGTCACAGACTGACTGATTATGCAGAGAATGTGGAGAGAGACATAGGACCTGGCCCATGGTGGTGTCTGTCTGTGAGTAATCCTCCAACAGGAGATCCTGTTGGAGGCCATGTCCACTGAAGACTGGCCTAGGCATATGAGCATTTGGCCAGCTTGGTCCAAACGCTAAACCAAAGAGGTTCTTTAGCAACAAGTGGACTTGTTACATGAGCCTCAGATGCATGACCAACAGTTCTGCCTAAACTGGTTTAGTTTTAAGAATGACCATATAGGCTCATAGCTGGTAGCATCTGTGTTATAGAGATAAACTCAAAGACATCACAAACATGTGCTTTAAAAGATCACAGCTCTCCATTTCCTATCATTGATGGCAGCAGAGATATCGTTAGTAATAATACAAATATTTATTAGATGGAATCTCTAGATACAGTTAAGATACTGTGTATTTCCTACTCTATCTATCAACTCTAGTTCCTGTTCGGAGACTCTGGGTGATGCAAATAGCTCACTGCTTGGCTACCCTGCAGAAAAGTTGACAGTTCAAACCCACCCAGAGACACTTCAGAAGACAGGCCCGGCGATCTGCTTCTGAAAAGGCACAGCCTTGAAAACCCAGTGGGGCAGTTCTAGTCTGTAACAGGGGTACCATGAGCCAGGGCTCAACTCTGGCTGCTAAAAACAATAGTTCCCATTCCAAATTTCCATTTCATAAATACCTACAGTGTACAATCTTAGCATATGTTGAAATGGAAGACTTTTAACTGAGCCTGAGTCCAAAGGATACATGCTTGCTCGACCTTGGCTAATTTAAATTCTTTGGACCCCTGCTGTCTCGTGTTTTCTTACTATAAGTTCACCCTGGAATCCCAGCCTGTACATCTCAGACCTACTCTTTCTTGATTTCCCTTCTTCACCAAGAACTTTCCCTGGTGAGCAGCATGGTCTGCTCTTCACTCTTAGGACCAGCTTCCTCATTCTGAAGAAAATACAACCGTTTCCTTTCTGTTTGCAGTGGTTGCATCTAGTGTATGCTGGACTTGGAACTGTGATCTTCTCATTAGTAAGTAAGTTCATCTATCTCTTCCTCTCTGACCAAGAATATGGTGCATACACCTTTGTGCTAGGCTGGAATCAGGTGGAGTTAGTAATTCACTGGAAAGTCTTCCAGGAGAGCTGCTACTCCTTAAAAGATCGTATTTAAAACCATCAGCCAAAGGAGAGCTGGCGGCATTGGTGGTTTGGTGGTGGGATTATCACCATCCAGGCCGGACAGCTGGTTCAATTACCTGTCAAGACAACACCTCAAGCCACTGGTCTGTGGAGGTTTGGGTGTTATGATGTGGAACAGATTTCAGCAGAGCATCCAGACTAAGATGGGCCAGGAAGAAGGCCTGGTGATCAGCTTCCAAATATTGTTGGCAGCTAATAACAAAGAAAGGGGCTCTGGTGGCATAGTGCTTAAGGTGGTTGATTGCTAACCAGGAGGCTGGCGGTTCAACCCCACCAGCCACTCCTCGGAAGGAAGACTGGCAATCTACTTTCATAAAGATACCACCTCAGAAACCCAAGGAGAGGGTGCTGTGAGTTGGATTTGGCTTGACAGCAGTGAGTTTATTTTTTTTGTTGGTTAATAACATGGAAAGCTAGGTGTTCTTCCCAATCCACAAAAATGTGACTTAACTTGAAAGGTAATATTTAAGAAGATGATTAAGAATCATTTATAAACTTTGAAATTTATAGTAGTGGGTTGTGATTTGTTTTTAATTTTTAAAAAGCAGCAAAAATATACATAATGAAACGGTTGTTATTTCAACATTTTTTACATGTACAATTGATTGTTTTTCCTCATACTTTTAAACCGACACAAATGTTTCAAAATAGAAACTTCTTAATGCTTTTTTTTTTTATTGTGATTTTGGTGAAGATTTACAGAGCAAATTCACTTTCCATACAGCAGTTCACATATACTTTGTCTCATGTCAGTGACCACAGTTTACAATGCAGCAGCTCCCTTCCCACTTCCTCCCCATAGTTACCTCTTCCCAGTGTCCATCCCTCCATACACTCCTGCCCCCTGAGCTGTCTCCCTGTGCATAGGCAGCCCTTGTTTTTCCCATGATTGTTCTCTCCAAGGAGTGTATCTACTTGAGGCAAATGTTCAACTCATATTGCCTGTATTTTGTTTGGCTGGAAACCACGGGTGTGGGTTCAATTCCAGACCTGAAGGGCAGCTAGGGTCCATAGTCTCAGTGGTTCCACCAGGCTCTATCAGACCAGCAAACCTGGTCCCCAACTTCTTTTTTTTTTCTCCAAATGATTCAAAATAGAAACTTCTTACAGGGTATTGGTAATTGCCATTGCTGATTTATTTGTGAACCTCTTTCTGTCCATTGTCTCATCATTTGTTGACCCCTCTTTAAAATAACATAGTGAAAGTTTTGTTATAAAAGCAATAATGCCCATGTTTTAAAATTCAAGTAACATAGAAAGTTATAAAATGAAAATATCTCTCTCATACCTCCCTTCCCCACAGGTAACTAACCCTTTCAGAATTTACATACACACACGCGTGTGTGCGTGTGCATGCACACACACACAAATATACATCCTGTCTTTTACACAAATGTAGTTTTACCACAAGAGTCCTGATGGCACAGTGGATAAGTGCTTGGGTGCTAACCAAAAGGTTGACACTTCCAACCTACCAGCTGCTTGTGGGAAAAAGATGTGGCAGCTTCCTAAAGATTACTGCCTTGGTATCCCTCCAAGGATATCCCGAGGAGGCAGCCACTCCTTGGAAGGAAGCCTGGGCAGTCTATTTCCGTAGAGGTACCACCTTGGAAACTCAAGGAGGGGTTGCTATGAGTCTAATCGACTCTATGGCAGTGAGTTTTTTTCTTTTTTTCTTCTTTTTCTTTTAGCCTTTCTGTAAAACCTGAATTCTTTGGGAGAAGTTTCACCAAAATGGATGATAGTCTAATACGATTTATTTGCAAGAATCTTCAAAACCCAAGTAGTCTCTTAATGCCAGTGTTGCTCTTTCTGACGGCTCAGCTTCAAGGCACTTAGAACAGCCCTCTTGATTAGAGTCTAGATGTAAAGAAGTGAGGGTACCAGCCCCTGGGCCACTCACTGTGCAACAAATGGAAGGATGAGAGTGCTCTTCTGTTTTTTTTTTTTATCTTGATGTTATGGGAGCACATAATTCAACCTACTGAAACTGAGTGAAAAAGTTTATTTTAAGGATTGTTTAACCAAATGTGAATCCCCTCTCATTTTCCTTCCATTTTAGATATATGAACATCATCATCACATGTCAAAGTTTGAAAAATGCTGTCACCTAAAGCTCCAAGAATTCATAATTATTGTTCTTTGTGAATCTAAATATTTGTGAACCCTCTGTACTTTCATTCTTTGTTTATGAGACAGTGAGGGGAAAATCATGGACATGAGCATTTTGTTGTTTGTATTCGTGTCCAATTTGTCCACCCAGGTCCGTGTCACTGGCTAAATCTGTTGGGTTTGGAAAGTCAAGGAAGGCTCACAGGATTCAGAAGAATGAGGCTTTAACAATTAGAGTACAAACTCAGCGAGGGGATGAATATACATTAAGGATAAATTATACATTATACATTAAGGATAATGTATATAACCGAGAACTGAGTTTCTGTAATTTTCTTTCTTAATGCTGAATTTTTTTAAAAAATTGTGAATTGGGTGCAAGTTTACAGAGCAAATTCATTTCCTATACAACAGTTCATACATACTTTGTTTCATGACATTGATTGAAATCCCCACATGCAACAGCTCTCTTCTCACTTCCTCCCTGTGGTTAAACTTTCCCTGTGTCCTTTCTTATGCATTCCTGTCCTCTGAGCTATGTCCCTGTGCAAATACTGCCCTTCGCATCTCCCACGGTTGATTATTCTAAGGAGTGTACCTACCTGGTGTAAATGTTCACCTTATATGCCTGTGTATTGTTTGGCTGGAAGCCACAGGAGTGAGTTCAATTCCAGGCCCAAAGGGTGACCAGGGGCCATAGTCTTGGAGGTTTCACCAGTCTCTCTAAAAGAGACTGGTGTTTTTTTTTTTTTATGATTTTGACTTTTGTTCCACATTTTTCTCCCACTCTATCCAGGATCTCCTAATTTGATTCCTTTCCAAGTGGTTGACAGTGATAGCTGGGTACCATCTAGTTCTTCTGGTCTCAGGGTCATGTTGGTTGAGGTTTGCATGGTCTACTAGTCCCCTGTACTAATTCTTTCCATGTGTCTTTGTTTTTTTTTTTCCAATTCTTCTTTGCTCCAGATAAGGAAAGACCAATTGCTGCATCTTAGTTGGTTGCTTGCAAGTTTCAGATCCCAGTCACTACTCACCAAAGCAGCATGTAGAACAATGTTTTTGTGTAATATGGTATGCCAATTGAACTTGATGTCCCCCAAGACCATAGTCCCAAGGCCGTCAGTCCAGTGACTCATTCCCTCAGGGTATTTGGCTGTGGCTAAAAAGTTATCATCATTTTGTCCCATTAGCTCTATTATATCTATGGACATTCTTATAGCACATACAAATATGTATGTAGAAATATCTTCTGCCAAACTTACATATGGTCATAGGTATATTCCCTTTGCCCAGACATACCTGATCATCTGGATATCTATGTATCCACCTGTAGATTAATGTTTGCTATTACTGGTAACCAGAAGGCTGACGGTTCAAACCCACCAGCCACTCCTTGGAAGGAAGATGGGGCAATCTACTTCCATAGTGATACTGCCTCGGAAACCCAAGGAGGGGTCACTATGAGTCAGTCTGACTTGATAGTACATAACAACAACAACATTACTGGTAAAGCAGTACTGTGTATGTAAGAGTGTTTATCTTTGTTGTCTGTACTTCTTATACAGCTCTCTGTCTCTTCCTTTTTCTTAGTGTTATTGTGTTGGTCACTCACTTTTGGTATATTGCCTTTCCTTTCACCCAAATCAGTACTTGTCTCTTACCTATCTAGTAATTCTCCCACCCCCCCGGCCCAGGTAACCAACAAAGAAAGTTTCCTTCCATATGTAAACCTTGTCTTGACTTTTTACAATAGTGGACTAATACAATACTGCCCTTCTGTGATTGACTTACTTCACTCAATGCTGAAATACTTTCTCTACATTAGTTTAGAACATTGATTTGATAGAAAGGTCAAATGTCACTTAAAGAGCTAACACTTTTTCCCTTTGTTCAAGTACCTAGTGATGGACGTGCAACTGATGGTGGGCGGGCGCCATTATCATTCTAACCTGGATCCTGAAGAGTATGTTTTTGCTGCTCTGAACATCTACTTGGACATCACCAACATTTTCCTTTTTATTTTGCAACTAATTGGACTAGCACGGTAGTCATGGTAGTCACATGGCCAAGGCTTGCTTGAGTGGAAGAGAAGGAAAGAGTGTCACCAGTCTCAGGCATGCAGAAATCGACACTTCATAAAGGCCTTTTATTTTAAAAAATAAAATAATAATTAAAAATATATATATTTTTTTTTTTGTCAAACGAAGCCAAGCATTCAGTTGATGGTAGCTATAGCTGTTACATTTTCAGTGCCTTGTCACATCGCAAAACTTTCTGGGAGTTGTTTCTGATTTTTATAAAAGATGAGTATCATAATTCACTTCTGAAAGATCCCCATTACTTTGCTGAAGTTAGTTTTTGCTTTGTTTTCTTCTTCCAGACACTGTTTAAAACTGTAAACAACATCTCTGTACATGAATAAAATTGATTACATTTACTCCTTTCTCTTCTCTTGATTTAGACATTCTCTGGGACTATTTTGACATTTGATTTTTTTTTTTCTCTAAAGAGTAAAGTAAACCAACAAATTCTGCCTTTTTCTTGGATTTCAGAGTCAGACTGCAGAATATAATAGTACCTGCTTGGTAGAATTGCAGGATTCCTGGTGGCACAGTGGTTAAAGTGCTTGACTGCAAATCAAAGCGTTGATGGTTTGAACCCACCAACTACTCTGAGGAGAAAGATGAGGCAATCTGCTTCTGTAAAGATTTACTGCCATGGGAACCCTATGGGGCAGTTCCATTTTGTCCTATAAGGTCACTATGAGTTGGAACAGCTCCAGGGCAGTGGGTTTGGTTTTTGGTTGATAGCACTGTAAGAGAATTCACTGAGTTAATGTACACGAAAGGCTCAGTAGGAAGCAGCATTAGCAGCTGTTGTCACCATCTGGGTGTGAAGCCACCCAGAGGTGCCTCAGAAGGCTTCTGACAGGTCACAGCCTTGAAAACCTCACGCAGTGCAGTTTTACGTGCTCCGTACGCGTGGGGTCATCTGAATTGGAATTGACTTGAAGACACTTTTTTTTTTAAGTCCCATAACCTTTTCATAAATTATATCTTTATACATATCTAATATCACTGATTTGATTAAGTTTGATTAAGTTCCTTAGGACCTTATATCCTAAAGGTCAAGTTACATCTTTCCTGGAGTCTCACACCTTGCTGGTAACTCAATGCCTGCTGAGAAAAAATTTTACTCAGATTTAAGAGCCCCCAAGTACAACTCCAGCCAGATGACCCTATGTCTACATCCTTGCCTCACCTATTTCTAATTCCATGTCCTGGGTTGTTTTAGAGACGTTTTCAATTGCTGTTCCAATTTTCTATAAGCTGTCACTCTGAGGCTGTCTCGTGGTCCGTCCTTGGGCATTAAGGGCTGTAAGTGTGTTCCTTGATCTGAGGAAATATGATGCCGCAGTCCAAAATCTTCTGCTCAGGCCCTTTATTGTATTTCGAGCGTTTGCAGCTACTACCGAGTAAGCAAAACCCAGCCCAGAGTGTCTGTTCCTGTCAGAATCCATTCCGGGACTCCTTGCATCAGTCGGATTTGCCGGCTCTGTTCAGAGCCCCACCCCTGCCCCTGGGGAATCTGTCCCATCTGCAGTCTCTCTCTCTCATTGACCAACGGAACAGTTCCTACTGCATTGTATGCTTCAGATGGTGTAAGAGGGATACATCGAGATTCAGCCCATCCCTTCATTGTCACAGTAGCCCATGTCTACTCTTTTCATGGACCCCAGGGGGCCACCTCAAGCCAGTGCACCAGGATATGCACTCGCTGATTTCAATCACCTTCCGATCCTGGAAGGGGGTTCTTCTGATGGACATCAACGTGTTCTACTTTAACACACCCCTTAAATACCCATAGTGATTTCCCTGAGGCTGTACAGATAGGCATCCCTTTAATAGGCCAGTTTTCAGTAGAAAACTGAGCAATAGAAAACTGCTCTGTCATATGGGGTCATTATAAGTAGACAATCAACTCAATGCCACAAATCAGCAACAACAGGGCCAGTACAGTCTCCTGTGATTGGCTAGCCAGATACCTCTTCCTTCTTTTAAAGACTCAAGGAGGTACTACTTCTAAAAAGGGTGATTCCTGACATGGTAATAACCTTTCACCTCCACAGCAGGTAGGGATGGCCAAGGTGCTCAATTTTCTATCTGTCCAACCATATGGCCAGGTCTGGGCTGTGCACGAGGGAGTCAGCCAGAGAGGAATATGATACCTCCTTTCTTCTTTATGAAAAGAAGAAATAGAGCAGTGAGTTATGGAGGTGAAGCTATGGTCATACGTTGTGTGTTGTTGTTGTTATGTGCCGTTGAGTCGGATCCAACTCAGCGACCCCTCCTTGGGTTTCCGAGGCAATATCACTATGGAGGTAGATTGGACCTTCCTTCTTAGGAGTGGCTGGTGGGTTTGAACCGCCAGCGTTCTGGTTAGTAGTCAAGTTCCTTAGGCACTACGCTACCAGAGCTCCTTATAGTCATACAGATTAGCCAAATAGAATGAAAGGTAAACCTAGAAGCAAATTAAAAGATATGGGGATAGAACACTTATTGAGGAAGAAACTGCTATTCTTCCAATGTGGAGGAGAGTCCTGGTGTCCCCGAGGTCCAGTCTAACATGGAATTAAAGTGAATACTGAAAGGACAGAACAATCTATACTTCCTATCTGTGTCTTCTGCTGGGGCCAGACATCTGCGTTACAGCTTTCCTATGATTCCATTAGAATAATTGCTTTATGATGTTTCTGCTGTTCCCTTAAGGAAACCAGGTGCCAAGAGATGCAAATTGTGGGTAAACTGAGGCTTTGATGTATACCTCTGAAATTCTTCGTGGTGGTGTAAAAATTGGTGTAGGCTGAACCCCTGGACAACCAGAAGCTTGATGTCCTCATTTTGTTATCTGTATGGCAGCTAACTGAAGAGGTGCAGGGCTGAGAGGAGTCTAGAGATAACAAGGGCTTAAAGTCAGCAAATCATATTACGTGCTCCCACAATCAAGACCAGTGGAAGCAGCAGTCAAGAAATCAGACGACGTATCACACTGGGCAAATCTGCTTCAAAAGACCTCTTTAAAGTACTGAAGAGCAATGATGTTTCTTTGAAGACTTAGGTGTGCCTAACCCAAGCCATGGTGTTCTCAATCGCCTCATATGTATGTGAAAGCTGGACAGTGAATAAGGAAGATGGAAGAAGAGTTGATGCTTTTGAGTTGTGGTGTTGGTAAAGAATACCGAAAGTATCATGGACTGCCAGAAGAACACGTCCTGGAAGACATGCAGCCAAGAATGTTCCTTGGAAGCGAGAAGGGCCAGACTTCATCTCACCTACTTTGGTCATGTTGTCAGAAGGATATCATGGAAAAGGATATCATGCTTGGTAAGGTGAAGGATCAGAAAAAGGGGAAGGCCCTCAATGTGATGGATTGACACAGTGGCTGCAACAATGTTGTTGTTGTTGTTATGTGCCATCGAGTCAGCCCCGACTCATAGCGACCCCTCCTTGGGTTTCCGAGGCAGTACCACTACGGAAATAGATTGCCCAACCTTCCTTCCGAGGAGTGGCTGGTGGGTTTGAACCGCCAGCCTTCTGGTTAACAGTCAAGTGCCTTAGGCACTACGCTCGCTACTAGAGCTATTTGTCCTGGTTAAGAATTGAAATAGTAATGATTATTTGATACGTTTTAAACCTATAAGTAGGATTTTTAAAAAGAGTTCAATGGAAAAAAATAACGAGTTCAATGAAATATCCTTGTTACCAATGAGTCACAAAGTCAATGATGAAAAAAAAGTTAAAAAACAAATCAAAGAGAAAAAGGTGAAAGCGGAAATAAAGAGAAGAGTGGCAGAGGAATGAAAACAAACAAACCAGGATCTGATTGCAAACTCAAATAATTTCTTCTCGTGAAATACACACAGGAAAATCATAGAATAGAACTCCCATAGTTTTGAATAGGAAGGAGGAAAAAAAATAGTAGTTCCAATAATGATTTAAAAATATAAAACAAAAATTGTGACGTTTATAGGTAGCAATAGTTTTCCTTTAAAGGGGCAATGCCAGTATGCATTCCATCATCAAGGAGTAATTTTCTAATTAATACCATTTTTTAATTACTCTTTTTCTTCTAAAAGACAGCTATTATAAGTTGACATAAAACTAAAATGCTATTACAGTTCTAATTAAAATTCAATTTTCTTAAAAACATTTTTTTAAAAAACAGAAAACTAAGTGAAGTGATTCAGAAATAAATTCATTTCTAAGGATATTACATAAATATGAGATTTTTAACAAACTGTTCTTCATGGTGTAATTGCCAGAAACTTACCGTCATCATAGTCTTGATGGTGATATGAAACGTGGTACTTTCTTGGATATGTTCCTCCTTTACTAAATTTCTCAAAGATAGGGTTATCATAGGCTCAGTTATAGCAAGCATTGTGAGGCTACCCAGGCCCAGGTAGTGTTTCATTCTTTTGTACATAGGGTCACTATGAGTCTTAGCTGACTTGCCAGCACTTAACAACAACATGGTCAGTAAAAAAAAGCCTTGGTGGCACAAGGTGTAAGTGCTAGGCTGGTAAACGAAACTTTGGAACCTATCCGGCAGCTCTGCAGCGATCTGCTTCCGTAAAGATTATAGCAGAGTTCTCTTCTGTCACACGGGGTCATTATAAGTAGACAATTGACTCAGTGCCACAAATCAACAACAGGGCCAGTACAGTCTCCTGTGATTTGCTAGCCAAACACCTCTACCTTCTTTCAAAGACTCAAGGAGGTACTCCTAAAAAGGGTGGTTCATGACATGATAATAACCTCTCACCTCCACAGCAGGTAGGAATGCCCAAGGTGCTCAATATGGGACGATCTCTGCTGGATAATGGAAGCACACTGAGCCTAAAACAGAAATCACCACACAGTAAACAAACAACAAACGCAGAACAACTCTGAATTGGATCTTGAGCAAAATGAAGATTATGGAAACTGAAGAACGATACCATATGAAGAAAACTTACAGAGATGGGACAAAAAGAAAGAAAAAAAGC